CGGGCGGACTACTGAACAGCCAATAACAAATTGAGGCTAGTCCGGATGACAAATTTGGAGCCCGAGTTGACAGGCTATGATATGTGTTTAGAAGAAACACACCTGCATTTCAAAAAGGGACTAGCGGTTCAATCAATGTGGCAAAATTGTGCAACTGTTTTTCTTGGAGTATGAGGGAGGAGGGAGGTTTTTTTTTTTTTAGCCAGCAGCAATTTTGGCCCTATTTGTTCGGCAGGAAGCGTTGGTTTAGGTCTGGGGCAAAGGTCGGCCATTGCTCCTGAAGTTGGGGCTGCTTAAGAGGGAATGCTGTGTTAGAACATTGCTAGAGAGAATTTCCCATAAATTGTATTTTGAAGACTCTATGGAGCCATAACTCAAAGATTTTCTTGGACAAGTAAAAAGAGAGGTCATTTTTTTTTTTTAATCAAGTGAAAGATGTGTCTGTGTACCAGAATTTATCTCCGAAGTTTGTAATTTAACGACATCCCAACTCCCTCGGTTGTGTGAAAAATCATACGAAAATTTATGGAATCAGACTAATAGGGTTAATAAAATTATTTTCCCGTGAACAAATTTATGTCTTCCATAACAATAAATCTATCCATGATTTTCTCCTTAGTTCTAGTAGGCAGAATTACATCATCCTTCAGGATTTGTGAAAACCTTAACCTGATTGATATTCAGGAACATTGAAAGCTTTCCCCAAGGAGAAACCAAACACAAGTATCAGCATTCTGGTTCAGTTTTTTCTTTGATGATAACAACTCCGCGGTCTTACAATGTGCTTGAACGTTTCATTTCAGAGAGTGATAAGTAGAAGTGACATCCGGCACCTGGCTGCAAATGATTGCCCAGCAAGTGACTGAATCCCTCCCAGTTTGAATCACGCCATGGCTTCCTCGGTTCAGAGGCACAGAGCCTAGCATCGGACCACGAAAACCTCACGCTTCTGAGCATGGGCTCAGACACCCCATTGTGGTGCAAATGCACACTCCGTTCCACCCCAAAGGCTTTTTGCAAAGTTAATTGTGGATAAACCCCAAAAAATACTCAACACCTGAAGAACAATATTGTGTGTGGTATTTGGGTATAAAATGTGGAGGCTTACTATCTTTGGTTTGGTGGATAGTGGGTCTGACGGGCCGGCCCGTAAGGGTGCTATGACCAGTATGGTCACTCAAGCATGATCGGGATTGTTGGAGAAAACAAAACTAGAGTTCATGACTGCAATTTCAAAGGATTTAATCGTGCTTGGGGTTCGGCCCATTCAGGAATCTGTCAAAATATGGCAGGATAAACAGTCCCGAGGCATTGTGGGTTGTGTCGTCGGCCTTTGGGGAATTCGCCCGAGCTGGGGCGAGGACCGTGGGGGTGGATTAGGCGGGGGATCGGAGAGGGAAAGAAAAAAGTGTTGCCATTGGAAATGTGACGTTGTCTACGCTCGATAAAAATCTCGTGATGGAGCACAAAATTGAATGAGTGTCATTCAACTAGTGGGATAGTGACTTAAACTGTAGACGGCTAGAATTATTTATGAAGTAGTTCCCAGTGCCCCAGTTTATACATGTATGTAGCATTTTATGTAACATGGGCCCCACTAAACATCCAAGCAACTGCTAAATGCTAAGTACACTACACATTAACCGTAATCTTTCAAACCATTTTACAAAAATAAGATATCAATCTCAGTCTTAAACAAAAGCGTCATAAACCGGTAAGACAACATATCACCAGGTCTGCAAACACCCTGAGTGCTTTCCGAAATGGGCAGTGGACCTTTGGAATTTCAAAACAAACCTTTTCTTTACTGGCTGGCCAGCGTTAATTACTTAATTCACATGTACAGGTGCATTGTGTTTTATGGCTGGTATGGTCTAGACATAGCAAATGAACCAGCGCGTTTTATGATCTCAGATTTAGGAATGCTACAGGTATGTGTGTGCACCTGAATGAAAGCCGTGGTCTATTAACTGGACTCAAGTGTGGGAAATAGTCGCTGGAGTGCCTAAACAATGGTGAGCACTTTGCAGCGCTGGGTTTGCCCTTTTGTGATCCAGTACAACAAGTGAGCAAACACAGCACATTGAAACAGGTGAATTCGTTTTTTTACCTGAATGTACATTTGAGTTCTTGAAAGCTGGCCAGTATTTATTCCCAGTGCTTGCTCCTACAGGTATAGATTTGCGCAAGTTATAGCATTTGTGATGGTCATGTAACTGTGACTCTTCCTTCCTTTGTTTTTTGTCCTCTTTTTTTCTCAAAGGAATTGTTACATTGTGTTTTAATGGCCTGTCATTGGACATGCCTGTAAATGTAATGCACTCAACATGTTGAACAATCCCTTGTCAGAAAATACGCACAGGCCCACCCCGGATCATTAACGAGCAATATTTCTTTGGATGAACAAAAATTCTTTTGCTGTTGGATACTGTAAGGGCTCAGGTGAATATTGGCTCAGATTTATCCCAAATGTAAGTGCATCAGCTAGTTGTGGGAGCAATCACAGATTTCAAAATCCGGTTATCCTCTTTTTCTTCAAACTGAATTTGGTTATCCGATTTCACCGGAAGTTCTCATTGAGCTCACAGTCATGCCAACAAAAAGTGACAAGTGGGGTGCTGCATGCAATGCCATCCCAATGATTGGGTATAGTTTGCAGGATCGGTGAGCACTGGGACTTTTACAAAAACACTCCAGAGCAGTAATGTTGGGGACAAAATGGATGGGAACTCTCTGAAAAGTCATTTCATGAACTGACAACACCACTACTAGCAAGTGAATGCAGTTACAATCAGAGACCATGGAGCAAATTGGGGGATGTTACAGTTGGGTTTTTTTAGCCTGTGTCTCAAAAATGGAAGGTTTAAAGTTTTTTAAGGTTGGTTTCGAACATCCGGTTTCCAAAATCGAAACAAAAAGTGGAATTGAAACCGAATTTAAAAATCCGGAATTAAATCCCACCACTATGTATCCTAAACAACATCTCAGACAGCAAATCTCAATTTTTTTTTCTAAATCATAAACACTATATTATACAGAACGATGCATATCCGGCTGTGGTATGAGCACTGGCGTAAGTTAACAAATATCAAGCAAAGCCCCCCTGTTTTCCCTAACCCTCTTCTAAGCCTAGCTCTATCATGAAAAGCCAGCGACCTGTCGCTCATGACGCTCACAACCTGACCTATCTGCTCCCAGTCGCTACTAGCTTCTTCCTCGACACTAAGAGGCAAATAATAAAAAAAGTAGGGGGGCAGAAACGCTTGTGATAATTAGGAATCGGCATGCAAACAAACGTCGCAATATGTCCGAGGTTTTTGCCCAGGCTTGCTTAACATGCGGCATATCCGATGTGCCCCGGGGATACTAACCACTCTCTGCTCCGCCAAGAAAAAAAAATTATCAATGTTCGGGGGTAAAAAAAAAACGTGCCCCGAGACACATCCGATGGACAGTGGATCTGAATGAGAAGGGGCCATGTAGCAGGGGAAGTGACAATCGGACTGGGGTTGAATATACTACAACTATTTTGCGTGCTTCCTGTTTGGGGGTTGTTTCTAACAAGTACCTTGAATACATTGACCATGCACATTGAACTCCGAGGGACAGTTCAGTTAAACGTATGCAGATTTGGAGATTTACAATTCGGTGAATAGTCCAATGTGAATAGATCGATCTTAGTCTAGCAGTAAAGATACTAAATTCTGTTGGGAGGTTTTCCTTCATGCAAAATTACTTCTTTATGAATTTAGTTGAATTTATTCAATCAAATTGTCATTCCTATTTTCAGAATCAAGTAGTGGTTAGTAGTTTAAAAGCACTACAAGAATTCTTTACTTAGGGATTAAAAATAAAAAATAATTCAAAAAATGATGTTTTAAGGTACAACTCAACTTTAAGTCACTTAACGCTGCATATCATATGAGATCAACTTCAGGGTAGCAGCAACAGAAATGGATAGTACAAATCAAGGTCACAGGTTCGCCTCCAAATTATAAGTGCAAGTCCCCTTAACCTGCAGCCCCATTTCAAAAACACTCTGCTCAAAATGGCCCGGTCAAGCCGAATTCAAAAACGAAGTCTACTGGACCCAGCTGATGGGAGCAAGTATTGACCAAGACGTCACAGCACTGACCCAGGCCATTGGCAGTGTTAAGTGCCCTTTTTTTTCTCTCTCCCTCTCCGACACTCTACAGGAAAGGCGAGGGGCTTGAAGCGGCATTCTGGAGTATTTATTGCCCTCTAACTGGGCACTGGAAGAGCAGAGGCACAGACAGTATGGCCCCACATGATGGCTGGAGGTGTATGGACTGCCGGACTTAAAGGGGCAGTCCAGGGGGTCAGGGACAGGCTGTTAGACTTAAAGGGACAGTCGAGAGCTCAAGGGCAAAAGTTGGCAAATGCAGTGCTTTATTTCCAAAGAGTGAAACTTCACTCCATTGGATTGTAACCAGGGACAAGATGATTAACCCTAACATACCTGAATCCTTCAAAATCCACACCCCTGTTTCGGAGGATTTCGGCGGATTCAGGATACCTCCATATTGAAAAAGTTGGGGGATTTTGATGGATTCAGGACAGTAAGCCTAGCAGTTCTGCAGGATTTTGATGGATTCAAGATACTGCCATATTGAGCAGTTGGGGGACTTTGATGGATTCAGGATCTCAACAGTTGAACTCCTTGGCTATATGTTTGGTGTGTACGGGGTAAATGTACTACACTGGTGGATTCTGATGGACTCAATGGTGGATTCTGATGGACTCATGATGCCAACATTTGTTTGCATGACAAAATTGGTGGATTTTGGTGGATTCAGGATACTTTCTTGTAAAAGTGCTGAAGCGGTTAGGGTTAAGAGTGAAATTCATTCAATCCAATAGATCAAATTTTCACTCAAGTTTCCACTGTCAGTTCGTAGTGTCAGAGACGATTTACAAGCGGCTTCTGATATTTGTGTGACATTAAATGATCTAAAAAGTGGATGGAATATTTTACTTACCCCAGTATATGTCTCGTCGCCAGGGGGTTCCGGGTAGGTCGTCCATCCTAACCCCGAAAATCTTGTGCTGTCGTACAGCGTTACTGCAAAGAAAACAAGAGAAATAAGAGAATGTTACTCATTAAAAGAAAAACTGCTTGTTACTGTCACCATCTTGAACGCAAGATAATGCAAATTATTTTTGGGTTTTTAACCCCAACGTACCTGAATCCATCAAAATCCACCCCCCTGTTTCGGGGGATTTCGGCGGATTCAGGATACCTCCATATTGCACAAACTGGAGGATTTTGATGGATTCAGGATTGTAAGCCTAGCAGAACTGCAGGATTTTGATGGATCCAGGATACCTCCATATTGAACTGTTGGGGGACTTTGGCGGATTCAAGATCTCAACAGATTTACTCCCGCCTAACTGGTGGATTCTGATGGACTCACTGGCCACCAACATTTTTTTGCATGGCGAAATTGGTGGATTTTGGTGGATTCAGGATACTTTCTAGTAAAAAGAGCCCAAGGGGTTAGGGTTAAAGAAGCAGATTTATTTATCCTATCACTTGTTGGAACCTTCGAAAATTACATAGATATGCGGAAACGTCTGAGCCCTTTTATTACTAAGTTCTTCAAAATCAACAAAAGCAAATTAGATAATTGGAGGACTTTGGTTGATTAGGATAAAGGCTTTTGGTGGAAAATAAAAACTAAATTCCATGCCAATTGCCCGAGAGCCTTCTTTTTTTTTTCAATGAAGCCAAAAAGTTTGAAACTCTTCAGTATTCGTTTGAACAATACGTTTACAACCCTTCAACAACACAACATGATAGCTGTTTATTGCCATTTACAAAAACAAACCGACGATTAACAAGTCCACGCTAAATCAGCGATTGTTTCACAAACTATTTGCAGTACATGTCTAAATATTGAGCCCGGAGCCAGCAGGGTTTGTACTGCCTACACAATCAATCTATGCTAATACTGAGTTAATGTTTGATTAGGGTATAGCCTATGGGTTTTAATACACAGGCTTTATCAGGCATTATTAATGCATGAGCATGGCTGTGTACTGATTAAAAGGTACAATTGGACATAACAACCGTGCAGAAAGCAAATAGATTACCTTCGGACACTGGTTATCAGTCAGTCAGACATGAGAGAATATCCAACAATTTACAATTTTTTTTTCCCGAAGGAAAAACATAATGTGCTCATTGGAATTTTGTATTGCAAGCGCATTCTAATTTGGAATAGGGGTTTGATATTGGAATTCGACAAGGTGACAGCTCAAAACAGATTGTGCAAATTCATCTTTTCTGAACATTTTTGTGTGTAAATTTCACTGTTGGGTCCAGTCATGATAACTGAACATGTCTGGTCATCTAAATTAAAAAAAAAACTAATGGGAAATTCTAGCAGTGCATTTATAAAAGCTGAAGATTTCTTCAAAACACATTGGTATAGGCCTAAAACTACTTGATTTTTTTCTTTTAACCCTAACTCCCTAGCATGATTTACTAGGAACCATACCAATCCTGGCAAATTCCAACACCATAAAATGGGAAACTGAACACACGTATTTCTGACTTTGATTCTGGAGGTGTGCCAGCCCAATGAAAAAAAGACATGCCGTTGGGGTTTGATGGGTTGAGTTCTGTTAGGCCCCTACTGTAAAAACTGTAGGCCCTACAGTAAATCTACATGTAACAGTAACAGTTCAAATTTGCTTTCTAATTTTGAAGCAATGATGAAACATTTTTTTAACTGCTTATTTTTAGATCAGTCATGCAACTTGGAAGAAACAAAAAAAACGAGGAAACTCCAATCTTTACAAGACTTTGTACAGTGTTTTTCAATATTTAATGGCATGAGTGTGAAGTGAAAACAAGGAAATCAGCTGATCCGAGGAAAAGTTGCATGCCTGTTAGATGGAACTCTTCACACAACCGACACAAGTCTATTATGCGGGCTTGCATAGACATCATTATGAGGATATTCTGCTTCTGAAGAGCATCCTCAACGAATGCATAACCAACAAAATCGTCTTTTTGTTTCACAGGCAATTTAATGGCAGGTGTTCAAGAGGAGTTCGGGGGGGGGGGGGGGGATAGTTCCGCGCTGGACTGCTTCCCTCGACCGATTCCCCGGACTTGGACTGTTGGCAATATCTAACATCTCGGTACAATGTCTTCCTAAAGCCCGAGACGGGGGATTGCACTGATCGGACACGACAAGGATGACCCCGTGGAGTCGCTGGGTCTAAACGCGATACGGCAGATTCAACAGAAGAGAAAGACAAGCAAAAACTTCAGCCAACAAGTGCAGAGTGGGTAATTTCCGAAGAGGAGTCCGAGTCGGTAATAAATACGGGGATTCTTCGTCTCACATCCAATTATTGAGCGCACTTGGCTCTTGTGTTTTGAAGGCAAAGCATTTAAGTAGAGGCATTTTCTTTTTCTGGGAAGAAATTTGATGTGATTTTGCATACGATTTCTTGTACATTATATCTCTAATTTACTGGAAACATACATAAATTTTAATCATTTGGGAAAGAACTTATAAATACATTTCTTAATTCCCTTACAAAATGGTAGGGTTCAAATAGAAGAAAATTAATAGTCTGGTGCTGTTTTAGCAAAGGTCATATTTTCTTCATTAAACCTTCTGGGTGCCTGATAAAATGGCAAAAGGGTAAACAAGTCTCAATGTATGCCTCAATAAACCATTATCATGTTGCGGCCATCTTGAGTTTTTCCCATTCAAATCAATGTAACCAAAGTGAGGCTGGAAAGAAAAATAGTCTGGTTCCTTTTTGTACAAACATTCAGTATTGTGATTGGATACAGGGAACATGACTGAAATGGTGGCAGCATGATAAAGGTCTATTGTCCAGAAGGATCTACCATGGAGTTTTTTTATCCAAGGATGAGATCTACCTGTTCCAGTCATCATGTAATCACCCTTGCTCGAACAGGTGCAAAAACTACAAGGATTCAAAATAGGAGGGCAAAAATACATCTCCAAAGCTACATAATAGAGTCCTCATTAGAAAGAAAATAAGCCGAGTCAATTGTCCAGCCATGTTAGCCACATACTTCTGAGGTTGTAATCCCCCCACACAATAGGATTCTAGTTTCTTCCATCCAAGAGCTTCTCTTTTTCTTGTTTGACAAAAATCAATTATTCATGGTGCTTAAGGTTTTTTTTGTCAGTAGGCTTGTGCTCCTGTTCAGTCACATCACACTGGCGTACATGGGCTGTGACTTAAGGTGGATAATGTCTAACAGGCTGACACACAATGAGATGGGTGGCTGGCTAATCCCTGGTTAATTCACACAGGGCTATGAGTGTGAAGTGGTTGGGGGATTAGGGTCATTTGCATATATCTGGCTGATCTTTGTGGCTGGACAATGGGACCCATAGCACTATGACATATTGTGGTTTTCAAAAAAAGACAGTTTGTCTCTTGTTCATTTTGTCATCTTTTGAAACTAAGGAATGTTAGTAATTAATTGACATTGCTACAAGAAACAATATTGTATCAGTTTTAGTACGTTTTTCTCTTGTTACAAATTTTAAAACAAATTCAAACTGAACAGTTTTCATTACTTTAGCAAATCACGGAAGAAATTTACGTTCGTTCTGAAATTATTTGTTGCATTTCGATTTTATAAGACTGATAATTTTTTTTATGACTATTACATGACCATTCATTTGGTCTGGCCAAACAGTCTCCAAAATGAACAAATTGAATTCAATGCATCAACTGATCTTATAAGTAACAAAAATACCATTTTCTTATCAATACAAACAGAATTTCATAGCAGCTCAAATTTCACAAAACAAACCAGAAAACGGAACAAATTGCATCAGCGAAATATTAACAACCTTAACAAGCCGTTCATCCACTTGACCATCGCACACACACACTGTACGGGACTGTGATTACCGTAGTGCCATAAATCATATAAAATGTGTACATAATCAAATTGGTCTTGATGGCTTCCCGGGCTTCCCGCAATAATTTCTTATTTCTTATTTCTCCCCACCCACCCTTCTCCAGACCTCAACAAGTTAGTTATGATGAATCTGCTGACGAGCCTCAATAATCTAATCAAGGCGCTTCGTGCAGCCTCACGGGAGCTGCTTTTCCTCGGCACCTTGTCGTAGATTCTGGCCACAAAAAAATGTCTTGGCACGCGTTATTTGTCATATCGATATGGCGGCCGTTGAACCGTGCGTTTAGGCTTCGGATGATTTCTCCGCAGAGGTTGTCAATCCATACCCCACAACTGGCAAAATATGAAATGCAACGATGTGGGCACGGAGGGGCGGTAGGAATGCGTGGGTAATAATACACCCCCTGGTTGCGATACAGCGCAACCAGAATCAACAGCACCAGCGTCGTTTTGTCACGAAGTTAGCGCATTGATTTGGTCTCTTCGAACCGCAAATGAAACCCAATATATGCCATGAATATAAACTGCTATTTTATACATCAAAACAATCATGACTCCATGCACATAGCTTCAACTGTCTTTAAAATTGAAATGGTTTCTTTGTTTCTTAAACCCAAAATATGTATCCATAAAAAAATTATAAATACTTGAAGATACCTAGAGCTATGTGTACTGTTAGACATGACAATTTTACTCTGAGAATTCCAAGTCCGCACTCGACTACCGACTAGAATGGCGAATTAGACGCGCACTGAAGAACAGTGTGTCAACGGTGTAGGAGATACATACGTAAACCGTTATTGATTTTTATATACTGTCTGCCGACTGCACAGAACGCTAGGAGGAATAAAAAAAAAAAAACGGGCGAAGCAGAGGAATGCATTAGCACTTAAATGGCCGTGCAGCGAAAACAGTCAGATATTTAACGCAAAGGTTTTTTTCACATGTGATACAGGGATATGTGCCTGTATATATGTAATGTACATTATGGAGATCACGCAGCTCCCTATATGTACAAGTCCACAACTATAGTACATTTTGCGTTAGAGGTCTCCTCTCTCTAGATCACCATTGTGATTTTATACAAACACGTACACGTAGGGACTTCATTTTATTCCCAAACACTCTTAGAT